TTCATTAAACATTTGATTAAATATTTCCTATCTAGTAAACTATTTATTTTTGGTAAACGAGGAAACTACACTGCGATGGCGAACATGCCTAGAAGTTTAATTGTCAACAATGAAACTATTCCTTGAGCATTTATTAAAGACGCATTGAGAGGTCATCATTCTTTACCAATATTAGGCGCTTAAAGATATCGTATCTGTGCTATAAGGTATGGATATCATGTTAAATTCAAATTTGAAAGAGAACATTAAAAATGCCATTTCTACACGGTTAATGACAACCCAAAATAAAAGCTAAATTTAAAACTATAACTGGAAGTGATAGAGATATACAGCTCTACAACATAATGAATTTCCTTCATTCTGGGAAACTTGGATCGTAAAATTAACTTTTCAAATAGTCAGTGGTTATTGCATCAATTATTGAAACTTGTTTATTGTTATATTTATCATTATGGTTCTTTGCTCTATTGTTATAAGTCTAAAGTGTTAATTTTGATCTTGACTTTAAATTGACATTACTTAATTGGTGAAATTCACTGTGGTAATGTTGATTGGTAATCCCTGATTTCATTCAGTCAAACATCTGGAAATTTGAATGTGGCCATGCTGACATCCCTCAGCAATGTGAACCACTTCTCAGTATTATATTGATGTCAAAATGAGGTAATTAGATCAGACTGGCATCTCCTAGTAACTTGAATTTCACCTTTTCCATGGTTCCAGCTCTAGGCTCAAACATAATCATGAAGTCCTGAGAAACCCATCCAAAAAAAGTCCTTATTGCTAACTGCTGCAACTCCCGTAGTCCTTAAGTTTCTTTTCAATGTAGTTATTATGGATAAAGAGTAGGACTTATCCTATATTAGGATGCTATACATTTTCTGTAAGTTTTCTACTAGTTATGTGCAACATTTTTGTTGTTCAATTTGGAATGTCGATCACTAACGTATCTGATCAAGCGTTGAGTTCCAAAAGTGATTCCTCCTTTCTTTGGTCACTGTAGAGTTGTTCTTTGCAGCTCGGCTCCCTTTAATTCAAGTACATCGTAATTTTTTTAGTACTAGCTATGGAAACAAAAATCTGGAATTGTTATAGTTTTTGTTTGGATATGAGATTTGTGAAGTTTCTTGCATCTATATGCTGACTGTTTCATTGGGCACATAATATGAGTCTTCTACAGAATATTCTCTCCAGAGGCTGCTTGCGACGTCATTGAAGCAGAGATGCATTCTCATGTTTTTTATGAGGCGGAGCCAGATATCTGGATGGTGATGGTGTGGATCTCTTTCTTAAGAAGCTAATCTCTCTCTCCATCTCTTTCCCCAACAACACAGCTACTATATTTTGGGTGGTGTACTGGGTAGAGTAATGAATAATATATATTTTTGTTAGATGTAGTTAGATTAGCAATAATTAACTCTCTCACAATTGATTCTTTTCTACATACTGAGATGATTATGGTAAGCCCTGTTTACATAATTTTAAAGTGTGCCTAATCTATACTTGTTCTTTAGATTGGAATGACAAGAATCTTTCTATTATCGGTCTACGTAATCCTTTATTTCATGTAAGATCTTTAATATTGTAAAATCAGCACCTTAATTTAAGATTTACGGAGACATAATCATCATATGCTCTACGTAAGTTGATTTAAATAATCAGAAGTTCAAATCGTAAATACTTACACTGTATGTTGATCTACGAACTGCATTGAAGGTTAATTACTGATCTTCTTGGGGATGTTGCCATCTAAGTCATGTCTTGTTTATTAAAATTTTTAAATTTCCCTTGCGTAAACCAGCAAAGACATTGAAGTTCTTCCTTTTTAAACGTAGACGTTATATATGTTAATCAATCACATACTTCTTCTATTGCAGATAACACATTATAACTATACACAAGAAGCATGTTAGCAGTTTCTTGACTTTTGTTATTTGTGGTCTTATTATGTAGGTAGTAGAGAAAAATAAGGATTCAGAAGCCATATGGCATATTGATGCTTTACGAAGAGTTCTTAAGGAAGTTCATTCCCTTTTTGTGATGTTTCATGGATCTTTCAGAACATTGGTTGATAAGGAACCTACAGGTGGATTTGTCCGGAGGCATTTATATTATTTTGTCATGGATTATTTGAGTGGTGAGTGGTCTCTATATGTAGTATAAGCTACACATACCTCTGTTTGGCTTCTCTTCTCCCAGATTTTCCGTGGTTTAAAATATTTTATTGTAAGTCACTAATTGTCAGCATATCAAAATCGGTCTCCATTTGATTATTGCTGCTCGGATAATGCTGCAGTTTCTGTAGAAACATTTGATTTGTTCTCTTGGAGCAATCTGAAATAGCCATTTTAACACCTTGCATTTTCTCTTTGGGCCAGATTTTTTTATTGGGAAGAAACTTCAGTTGCCAAACTTTCGTGACTCTTTAAAAGAACGTGGAACAGTACAAATGTTAACCATGGGGCGGGAGGCTGCAATTGATGTTCAGGTTGGTCTTTAGGTAATATTATTTATTCTTAAGTGTGACAAATTTGATAATTTTCTTTTGCCCATGACGGGAAAATGTCATTTGCTTGCTGTAATTTCCTCTGATATATAGACTGTGATGGATTATTATTTTTCTACTTGTATAAGCAAACTGGGTATGCTTACTGATTGTTGAAGCTCTTCATTTGGAAAAGCAATAAAATGGAAGGAAGAAATTAGCTTTTCTTTCGAAAATTTTATGCCCAAAGATAGTGGTAAAGAGTACATGTTGGGTAGTAGTCTCTGACTTGATATATTTAGTTTTATTAGATTGAATTTTTACACAGTAATGTAATATTGCATGACCATATATGGGATAATAGACGTTTAACTCCTACTTGTCATTCTTTGGAAACTCAAGTCCTAGCTTCAACTTTCTAAGTCTCGAAGTTCTAATTTTCTGTCAGATATTTCCAAAATGAATCTTAGATGCTGACCATGACTCTGTCAAGAATTTCTTGTTTAAACCTTTTCTAAATATTGAATTTTATATTGGGTTCTCTTTCATAAATTGTAGAGTAAATTCAAAAGAATGAGTTCTCACAAGACACAATAATATCTTCGCAGGCAAAGAATAGACTCACAAAGTTTTGAGTTGTAAAACTCTTAATTTCTTTCACTCTGATGATTATTTAATGATCTGGAAAAGCAATCATTTGTCTTAGATGATCGGTAATGTTTGATGACTCGCTTAATAAAAAATACAATCCAATGGAAACAAGTTATGTTTGGTAGGAGTTCGAAGTGCAAGCATACTCTTTGCAAGAACAATGCATTACATGTAAGTTATAATAAAAGGGAAAGTTGATGCAAGATACTTATAGTGGGGTATTGTTTCCTTTTGTGGAAGTATCTACATAATTGGGACTTTCCTTTAAATTTTTATTTAATTAAAAATAGTACTTACTGCTACACAAAGTTATGATATAAACTGTGT